TTTTTTTCAAAAGTTAATACTATATTACCGAAAAAAACACACACAAGGATTTTGTTCCAGTGTTTCAAAACAAATGACTTCCAGGACAGGAGCATGGAACAGAAAAGAGGATAGGTTTAAAAAACAACACACACTTTTAAGTCTGAAAATGGATTTAGTAATTTGTCAATGATGGTTCATTAGTTGAGAAATGTACTGTATGAAAAGTTTTTTAAGTACGATGTTCAGAATACATATTTGAAGAGAAAGCAAAAACAATGTGAAGGCTAGGACTTTGATAAGGAAAACTGAAAACTTGAAATTATTTAGGGATGCTTATTTTACTCAGCAAAAGAGGTAGAAAATTGTTTCGTGAATAAGGGTATATTTTACATAAATATTTGTCTTGCTATTATAAATAAAATGCAGCCTTATTTTGTGATTCTGAGTTCTCTTGGGGAATACTATAAGATTAAGGAATATCTTGGTGTTTCTTTTGTAGATCGAATGGAGCTGTTAGAAATAGCAAAAGCCAATGCAGCAAAAGCCTTAGGAACAACCAACTTTGAATTGCCTCCTAGTCTCAGAATTGTTCCTGTATCTAAAGAAACAAACCATGGAACAGCTGTATCAAATAATGGTGCAAAGTTTGAGGTAAGTATTCTAGGTTTATCCAGACAAAATCTTCAGAAAGCTGCTGCCAGACCTGATTAGTAATTTTTATTCAATGTATCTTAGCCTTCCTGGAAAGGCTAGCTAAATGTAATTTGTTAAAGTAAAAATAGCAGATCTGACATCACTAGACTTAGTCTCTTCCATAAAAGTGGGAGATTACTGACCATTATTTTCAGTTGACACAGAATTAATTGCTTTCATGATTGTAGCTGGTACTTTGGTGATTTCTATGTAGTTACCAAATTTTTCTAACTTGTCTTTACAGAGTATCTGTAGTTTTCATTTGCAGCATAATTTTCCCAGAAATTCTGTACTCAACATACAGTATAGTTTACCTGCTTTATTTCTGTCTTATAGAAATCATGAATGTGGTCTCCAGACATTGCTGAAGAAAATCTGTTGGTAATTGATACATGGGCATAAGCATCAGAGGTTTAACTAATTTGAAGTTTATATTCACACACTGAAAGCTTAGTTTTTATTGGTAGATCCATGTGCATGTTAGAATTTGGGATAGGTACTATTTGGATAAGATACTGAAGACAGTTTTAAACTAAAGTGCACTTTGTAATGTTGGGGCATCTGTGATCAGGATGTCCATTTCATAATATATGCAATATATTCCAGATGTTTTGAGAGATTACAGAAGAAGAGGCCTGCTTCACTTGCAGATAAGTTTATAATTCTACAGAAATGTGCAGGATGTGCATTGGCAAGTTGCACTTTGTTCTTTAAGTTATGTTGAAACCCAGAGCATAAAACCATAGCTTTGAAGTTTAAGGTAGTTAAGAATTGATAGTCTATATAAACAGGAAAGATATTACCTAGATAATCCTATCATTCCGACCCAGTTATGGGTATGCTTTATTAGTAGTAGACAAAATCTTAGTTGAGTTGCTTTTTCAGAGGACTAGTTGCTTTTTCGACAACTGGGCTAATGCCTTAGTTCAGCGATTTTCAACCTCTTTCATCTCATGGCACACACAAATTATAATTAATAAAATTCTGTGGCACACCAAAAAATATAGTTTTTTTGCTGCTATGATTTAAAAGGTATAATTTTGATACATTCACACCAGATGGCTATTGTGTTGGCTGTTGCCAAATAAAAGGGAAAAGAGATCAGTGCCCCTGACTAAATAGTCAGGTATTGCATGTTACAGAAATTCTTGAAGTACACTGGTTTAAAATCGCAGCTTAGTTCTTTGTAACTAGGTATTTTCTGGTATGGCTTGACTTTCAGAGTTAACTTGTATTTGGGAATACAATACATCTTTATGGGGAAGCCTGTCTTCATCAGATCCATTTATTGTATCAATTTTGTTAACGGGAAAAACATTCCAGTGTTTATACTACTAGCTGTATGGTTAGATCCAACTTGATTTGCTGTGTCTCTACAGCTAAATTTATATGCAGTTGGGCTGCTTTGTATACAGTACTGTAAACCAAAAATATGGTTTTAAGACTATATATATTTTCTCTTCCTGTCTAGCTATCCGGAAAGCTAACAGAAGATGGAACTAAAAATGCCAATGAAAAGTCTTCCCAGCAAAAAAGCATTAGCTCTAATGTAAGTATCTAACCACTGACTACTCAAAAATTGGACTTGGAACATACATCTGTTATGTGGGCTTTTATTTTTATTGGAAGACTCATTGTTTTGTCTGCTGTGATAATTGGGGGCCTACTAAGTCACTTTATAGACTTGGTATCTACACACACACCCACCCACAGTTGTAATTCTCAGGTCACCTAAGGATATTTTTTCCATTGCTTTTCAAAGAGGGATTGAAAGGAGGGGAGAGGAGGGAGGAGAAGAGAAGAGGGAAACATTGATGTGAGAGTGAAATCAGTCAGCTGCCTCCTGCACATCTCCTATGGAATGGGTAACCCTTTGGTGCATAGGAAGACACACAACCGAGCCACACTGGCCAGGGCTTGTCCCATCCCCCCCTCCCCCCTTTTTTTTTTGAGAGAGGAAGGGAGAGGGAGAGAGATAGAAACATCAATGATGAGAGAATCATTCATTGATTGGCTGCCTCCTGCACGCCTTCCATTTGGGATCAAGCCTGCAACCCAGGCATGTGTCCTTGACTGGAATCAAACCCGGGACCCTTCAGTTCACAGGCTGATGCTCTATCCATTAAGCCAAACCGGCTAGGTCTTGTCCTCCTTTTTAACACCTCACAATTGTAATATGTCCTGCATATGTTTGATTATACTTGGCAGTTTCTTGGCCTAAGTTTGAGTGAGGTTACAGATGAGGTTCACACTTGACATTTGGTTGGTGTCTCTTAAATTTCAGTCTTAAATGGAATTACTTAATGTACTGTGAAAAGCAAATATTTTAAGTACGTACAATATATATGTGTCTGGGAAGCTGACTTGAAAATTTGTTCTCTTACAGAAATCCGCTGAAGAGACCTCTTCAGGATCCCTAAAAATAAATCAGAAAAAAAGTCCATATGAATTGTGGAAACCTATTTAAAAAGAGAACTGATGGCTAAGGTTGCTTGAAATGCACTTTACTGCAAGTTTGTGTTTTCTATGGCATTATTTCATTCCTATGAGCAACTTAGTGGTAATTGTTAACATCTTAGATTTATTTTGTAGATAGTAGCACAGATGGACCAGAGTTATGTACAGGTGGGAGTCTTGTATATATACTTGTAAATGTTTTGTATAATATCAATTGGTTACATAGAAATGGAATTTATAAGAAACAGTAATTAAACTATCGTGTATATATATTTGTAAATAAATTTCTTTTTACTATTTTAGTCTCGCTTTATTATATATACCTATATATATAAAAGGCTAAGTGTCCGTCTGTCTGACCGGTAGCTATGATGTGCAGTGACCACCAGGGGGCAGATGCTCAATGCAGGAGCTGCCGTGACATGCACTGGCCATCCTATATAAAGAGCTAATACGCAAATGGTTGTCATGCCCTTGGGCCAGGGGACCTGAGGCTGAGCTCCCTGCCCTGCAAGGCTTGACAGGGTGGGGCCAGCCTGGTCTGGGTCTCGCAGGATTTTGAGGTGCACTTGGGTGGGCGGGGACTTGATTCTGGGTCCCATGGTGCGCCCCAGACTCTGACAGGAGGGAGATTTTCATATACATTTTACTAATTTTCTTCCATCTCTGACACTTCTATTATAGAGAAAGGGCAAATAGCAATATTAAATATTTCCTCTAATTCCCTTTTAATGTGCATGCACCGGGCCACTAGTCTATATCTATAATAATAAATGGGTAATATGCTAATTAGACTGGACATCCTTCCGGTCGACCTTCCAGACGAAGCTGGGGCTGTGAGGGAAGCCCGGGTTCCAGGTGCCAGAGGGAAACCTGTGCCAGCAGCCAGGGGAAGGAAGGCCTACTCTTGCACGAATTTCGTGCATTGGGCCTCTAGTATATATATATATAATAAAACCCTAATATGCAATTAGACTGTACAGTGGAATAACCGGTCACTATGATGTGCGCTGACCACCAGGAGGTGTGTGCAGAACATGGGCATTGGCCTAGTTAGACAGTAAAGTCAGAGAAAACAAGGATTGCCTTTAAGATTTGTAACTGAAAATATGGTTAACCTGAGCATCCTGTTAGTATTAGTTGGTATCTTAGTAAAATTACGTAACTCAAGGATTTCCTTGTAAGGGAGACTTGAAATAATTGACAATACTAGATTTTTTCACTGTCACTTAGCTGGTAACGGAAAGTACCCAATCTGATTATGACCTACATTCAAATAGCTGTTTAACAGATGAGAGGTCTGGCTAGTTGCTGTGGATATGTGCCACTTCTGAGACTGCACTTCTGTGATCTCAACTGCCTTCACCATTAGCTTTGAAGTAGACTTCAGCCTCTTAATATGCTTGAGACTTCCCTATTTTTCTCTTAGTCTATTTTCTCTTCCCAGTACCCTGAAAAGAATATAGTTATATTTGTGTTTTTCTCATAATTGCCCCATCCTTGTCTAATTTAACCTTATTAGTTCAGCCTGGCCAGGACTGTTTAATCTTTCCTATACTTTGAAACACAGAAGAAACTGCATACCCCCAGACAAGCTGTCATTACATAATTGGGATACAATTACTCTGTGATACCCTGTTACCATCTAATCTGTGGACAATACAGTCAGGTGCCGCTTCAACCACAGGAACATGTTCTGAGAAATGGGTATAGCCGATTTCATCATTGTGCAAACGGCTCTTACACAAACCTGGATAGTACAGCCTACACACCTGGCTAGATGGTACCCCGAGGTCAGCAAACTGCGGCTTGTGAGCCACATGCAGCTTTTTGGCCCCTTGAGTGTGGCTCTTCCTAAGCCTTAGGAGTACCCTAATTAAGATAATAACAATGTACCTACCTATATAGTTTAAGTTTAAAAAATTTGGCTCTCAAAAGAAATTTCAATCGTCGTACTGTTGATATTTGGCTCTGTTGACTAATGAGTTTGCCGACCACTAGTATAGCCTATTGCTCCTGGGCTAGAAATCAAGCACACACGAGCAAATGCAACCAAGAGTGTAAACATGATGTAACGTGGCATAGTGTTGTACAGCAAACTAAGAGTACACTTTCAGTAGCACAGCTGGTGTGGCTCTGGTTGAATGTTGACCCAGGAACCAACAGGTCAAGGTTTGACTCCAGGTCAGGGCACATGCTCAGACTGTGGGCTCAGTTCTTGGTGGGGGGTGTGTTTCTATCTCTCTCCCTTCCTCTAAAAAGCAACATTAAAAAAAAATAGAAAAAAAGGTAAATACATAAAACAGTAACAATCATTTGTTAAGTATTATGTACTGTATGTAATTGTGCTGTACTTAAGTAGGCTTGTTTACACAGCATCACCAGGAACACCTGAGTAATGTGTTTTGTTACAATGACTACTTCCCTAGGTAATAGGAATTTTTCAGCTCCATTGTAATTTCATAGGACCACCCTTTATACTTGCATTCCATCGTGAACTGAAACAGTTATGCATTGCATGACTATGGCAAGGTGAGAATTTGTATCAAGGGTCTAGATTCAGTGCTGTCCAATAGAAATACGGTATTAATTCACACCAGTAAATTAATTTATCCCAGTATATCTAAAATATTTCAACACAATATAAGGAATGCTGTGAGGCATCCACCTTGCCTTCTCTCGAGCAGGCTTGGTCCCGGCGTCATCCTCATCTGATGTCATCCGGCCTCGGGAACGGGGTAATTACTGTGGTTAGCATGATCCAAAGGTACAGAATGGATCTTGAAGGAAAGGCTGGTTGCTGGGCCTCCAAAGGAACCCCAGGTAGACATCAAGAACCTTTGACCTCCTGACCTCTGGGGTTTACTGTTGGCAGAAAGCAGACATTGAGTGGATCAAGATAAATCCAGGAGTGGGGAAATGATTGAAGTGATGTGCACATTTCTCCTAAGTGCCCATGCTCACATGGCTGAATAGACATAGAATCCGGAGAATGGAGGAGGTCAGGAACCCTGTGTGCCATTGGTCAGAAAGTAGATTGATTATAGTTGGATCTTCCCTTTGGCTTGGTTCAGTCTGTCCAGTAGCAGTTTCTGGCCCGGGGAGTTGAAATACAAGGCCTCTTAGGAAAGACTGACCCTGTATTTTCCTGATAAAGCATAATAAATTTTGTAGGCTTCCTATCTGGAGAAGGAAAGTAAAAAGTTATTTAAATAAATAAAAAGAAATACAGTGATATTTTACACTGTGTGTGTGTGTGTGTGTGTACTAGTGTGTGTGTGTTGTGACCTAGTGTGTATTTTTACACTTAAAGCACAGTTTAATTTGCCCTAGCCACATTTCATGTAATCAATAGTCATATGGTGGGTGGCTACCATTTTGGGGCTAGAGTGAATTTCCAGTACCAGGCACTGTTCTCAATGTTTTACATATTTTATTCTCAGTTTTCTGAGCTACAGATGAGGAATCAGAGCCAGAAAGCTTGACTGTACACTGCCTCAACAAAACACAATATTTGGATCTATAGCTTATGAGGCTGGTATGAATTGTATTTACCTTTTTCTTTTTTCCCTGCAATTCTCATTCCACAAGAGCTTTTTTTTGCAGGTAATCTCCCCCACAACTTCTTGGTGACTTAATTTTCAAACTTCATTCTACCATGAGGATAAATCAAGTTTGTTAGCATAGGGATGGAAATAAACCCAAATAGATGTTATTTGTATGATAGGCCATTCATAGCAGACTTTCGGATTTTATTGTAGGGGGAGGAGATGAGGCATTCAACTGTATTATATCTTTAAATGTTACTTTACTGCTTCAGGGGACAATGTGGTAAGGATGGAAAAGCAATTGTTCTAGAATAAGAAGGCCAGAGGGATATACTGACTCTGACTATTCAAGGACTGTGTGATGTAAGCACGTCCCTTAGGATTGGTTTGAAACAGGTGTCCCAAAGGATGAATGTCACTGTTTAGGTACTTGAGAGGATTGTAGATGCCACCGAATGACAGTCACATATGGACAAACGCGCAGGGGGCCTGGCCTGGTGGCAGGTTTTGTCCCGGAACTGCTGCCCTGAGGGGCTCTCCTCCTCCGAGCTGCCCACCGGCACTTGCGGCGGGAAGGCCGGCTTCTCCCCGCACCGCCCAGCGAGACCCGCGAAGCTGAGCCCTAGGGGTTGCACCGATATTCAGTCCAACCAGTCTCACCAATGTAGGTGTGGCCGAGCTTTTGGATTTTTGCCATTATTGTACAGTTCCCCAAACACAAAGAATAACCCACCGAGATTCTGATGGGAACATTATTTATACTGCTTTAGAGACTCCTTTTGGGATACGTTTCTATATCGTCTTCGAACCAGAAAATCCTTCACCTATTCAAACTTAATTGTTTTGGACCTCACATTATGCTTTTCTTCCTGTTACCGTTTAAATTTTATACCTAGCTATCTTTTCATTTTGGGGCTTACTTACTCATTTCTACGTCGAATTAGTGGTTATTAGTGCAGAAAATAATTTCCATATATTCCTCTTGTATCCAGAACCTTACTTTTATTAACTTAACGCACAAGTTCCCTGCTGGAGACGAAGAGTAAACAAGATGGACGCTTCTGCGCTCCTTGTTTACAACGCTGACGCGGGAAACGGAAATGAACAAAGGGAAATCTCTTACTCTCTTGAGAAAATTAAAACGGGGCCATCTGTGACAGTACTGAAAGCCCACGTAAGACAAGGTAGTCAGGGGTGAGCTGACAGGATAATAAACACTGTCCGCTCCAGGGAGCAACACGCAGCGGAGGTGACCCCCTTTCCAGGCCCGCAGTCGGCCTTTCTTCCTTCCCGTCCCCTTCCGCGCGCTTCCTGCCCTTCTCTCCCCACCTCCCCGCCCTCCCCACCGTCTTCTGCGGCTGCGCAAGGTCCTGCCCAATCGAAAACCGGCTCACTGTTAGAAAGAGCAGGGATTGGTCCCAACCTCTGAGCCTGCCGGGAAGGGGCGGGGCTTATTGTAGGTTATTAACATCAATCAGAGGGCCGACGGAAGTGCTGTGTTGTTGCCGGAAGTGGGAAGGAGAGGGTTGTGATGGCGGCTGCGGTTCTAACCGAGAAGGTAAGTGCCGCCGGCTCTACCCAGGGGATTTCATGAGGCGACTCACAGGGGCCGACAGGGGCGAGAGGTGGAGGAGATGCCTGGGTTCTGGGACAGGGAGGAGTAGGCGCTGTGGAGTCGGGTCGGC